GGGGGGGGGGGTCACTTTTGGGGGCGCTTAGGCTTGGAGCGCTCATTCCTCCACAGGCCGGTCGCTTATACCGGTCTCTTGGATGATCCCTCCTTAACCATTTGTATCTCTCATTTTGTACTACTCATTTTGAATTTACCGTCAACTAATTACCATGGTATTCTCATTGTCAGACTTTCAGTACAATAGATTCAGCTACCGACTGCTTAATTAATATATGCAACAATATAACAGAGTACTATATTTGCGATAGATCAGCATTTCAGGAGAATAACCATTCAAGGAATTTCATTTCAATGGTGTTGTACATTTGTATTTCTGACTATTAGGTAAAATCACTGGTGGGCCACCCGAGTAGGATTTATCTTTGTGCGTATAGTATATTCTACATATTAGAACAGTGCAGCACAAATTACACGGACATGTACTAGCCTGCATCATTTCAATACTTTTTGTTAGAGGAATTCACAGCACTCCTGTACTTGGCATAGTTTTATACGCGTAAGCGTTTTTTGGGGTGTATAAATTCTCAATCGCTATGTTTCAATCGGAGTTAAATTGAGAGATGAACTACCTCTGTTGTATATCTGTATATTAGTAAACTATAGGTTTACATTTATATTATATTTTAATTCTCGCTCAACTTCGGAAGCACATAGCCAATGATGGAAGCTTACACTTTACCGACAGTAGAAAATACTCGTTCTGCTTGCTGCAATTACCCCGAAATTCGCTAAGCTAACTGACCTAACGAAAATTTTCGAAGGTTGGCTGTCTTCATTAAGTACTCTCCTATCGGTGAATAGAGTTACGCCATTTTTCTTATAGGGTGAAGTAACTTTTTCGGGGAACAGCAAGAACGAAAAATGGCAGCGAAGGGCGCAGCTCTCATCAAGAGTAAGTAATCTCTTTGGAAATATATTTTTCCCAATGAAATTACAACTTGAACATGGTCAGTAGAACTGCATTTAATCATATCGGATTCTTGTAATTTTCGTTACACCTCAATTTGACCTTATATAACATGAAACCACTATGATAGAACTTCATCATATTTCTAACTGTATTATATCCAATTTTATTTCGGTAATATTTTTTAAAACTACATGAAAATTAGTTTTAATTTCAATTTTATAAATGTCAGTATAAATATTTTATTATAATTTAAAAACTTGTGAAGTTCCACAATTTGCTATCTGTTGACATTTTATTATCTTGCTTAATTTTCAGCCCTTATTACCGAGGCTAAGCCTAAGCTGAGGGTCATTGCAAGCTATGCCAAGGTTGAGCTTGTGCCACCTACTCCTGCTGATATTCCTGCCATTCGCTCTGGAATCAGCAGATTGATCCAAAGTGCCAAAACTGGTCGTTACCGTGACCTCACTGTGAGGGAGGCTTGGTTGAACACCCTAATTGCTGTTGAAGTTATTTGCTGGTTCTACATTGGCGAATGCATTGGCAAACGACATCTTGTTGGTTACAATGTTTAAGTGCTTGAGCATCACCAACCCTCATAGGAAATTACGTACAGTTATAGATGTTTCCGTAAACATGTGATCACTCACCGAATGTAAGTTTAATAAATAGCAATTAAATTGCAATTCAATTTGTATTCGTTCATTTTAAAATACACGCGATATATGAACATATTCTTTATTGTATTTTTTTGTTTTAATACATTTCGGTAATCTATTAGAATATCACAAAAGCGTGTAAGTATAAAAAATATTTTAATCATATTAGGCAAATCTCTGTCTCATGTGGGTACATGAGTATCCTAAATTATGTTTCACATTCTGTAAAAGTATTTTGTTGACTGTATTGCCACAAGCATATGGCACCTGTAACATGGACATTCAATGATCGTGTTACACCAACTTGTGGTACTTCGACACAAACATCCAAGAGTGGTATTAAGTTAGGTGGTATGCCATCTTTTTCATTGCTAAAATTAACAGATCAATAATTTTCATAGAAGAAGAATGAGTTTAATTTCTGGCAAAACTTACCCCAGCACCAGCACAGTCTTTTTCGGAAATCTCATTTTAGGAAGACTTATGCTTTTTGCTGTTTGTTCTGCACCAATTAATTCCCAACCCAAATCTCTTTTTTCTGTCAGATATATTTGCAACTGGTGTGGTTTTACCTATAACATTTTATTGCCATTGATGTCATTGAAACAAAAGTATATTTTGAAAACAAAAAAATACCTCTGTAACCGTGATCCACTTTTCCGCGGATACACTCAAACTCTGGAACTCTCTGTTTTGTGTGTGTTCACAACATGAAATAACTAATTCTTTAGCTCCAAAAATTTCACAAGTTCTAGCTAAACCACCAAGATTAGGTAGCCGATCAACAAGCGAGGCCACAACTATAATACCGTCCTCGCTATTATTCTTCTTTCGAGATAGTGATAGTTGTGATATTTCTGAAAGTTCCTCATCCAGTGGTGCCATTGATTTCCACGGAGTAATTTTTTTCTGCATATCTAAGGTACCTGTAGTAGTTATGTCGATATCTTCTGATGTGAACGTGCCAGCTGCGTTAAAATACATTTGAATAGCATATTGAAACCACTAACTGTCAATATGATCCATTTAGCTCACCATGAGAGGATTTTAACATTTGTGGGGATACTGGTGACGCACTGAGTGACCTGGTAGGATTACAATGTTTCATAGGATGTCTATTAAACATTGTAAATTTGAGCGCTTTAAACAATTCTGGCGAAATCCACTCGTCACTACTAATATTCGCAAGCCGTGGCAATTCTTTATAAATAGTCTGGGTTAAAAATGGTAATCATGCATTAATCATTTATGAACAATGACCATTAAATAAGACGAAACATACTTCCAGACTGTAGTCATCCATTGGATGAAAAATAGTAAAATAAAAATCTTGTTGCAGTTGCCCAGAATTTTTCATCATATTTCCATACTGAAGACTTTTAATTACTGCATCTTGCAGACCTTCAAATTTAGCTGGAGTATTTGGGCCAGTTACGGTTATTAGCAATTCATACAATTTTACCAAGACTACCTAGTAAAGGAAAATAGAACCAAAAAGTTATCAGAGTTAGAAATTATTAGCGTCAAATTGCATAATGGGATTTAATTCACATAAAATACAACTGACCTGACCATAGAGACGTACGTTGAACTGTTGTCCCATGCAACACGGTATAATATGTGAAATAGCTGAATAAAGGAAATCTGTTTGAGCTAATTTTGGTAAAAATCGTGCTACATGATATGCTATACTAGCAGCAGAAGTTAAACAGCTAGGTCGATTAAAATGTCCCTATAAACAAACAAAATTTATTTATAAAATTAAAAAAACTTATACTGTTTAGATACAAGGAAATGTAACAAACCTGGGTAAACATATCCCATAAGGAGTCCACCATGGTATTATAATTCGTATATATCAGAATGAGTAACCATTCTTCCATGTATCTAACGCTGTGCTGATTACTCTCAGACATTATGTCATTTCGAATAATTTCGTGCAAACACTTAATACTCTCCTGCGAATAAAATTATAAAAATTCTAAAACCGAAAACAATCTTTAGATTTTAGAATGTTTGTGATCCTACCTCATCTAGTACAGGTACTATTAACAGAAACACTTGCATTATACGATGTTTTATTCTATGCAAGTGAGAATCACCAAAATATCGTTTATTTTTAAAACTTTCTAGTCTACGAGCAGCCAATGATAAGAACGTTGCTCCAACCTCTGAGTCTGTTGAAATTGCTTTGCACAACAGAATTGTAGATTTTGCTCTGATAACAGTATCAATATTGTAGCTCCTAATATATGATAAAATAACACAAAAAATTTATACATATCTGAAATCATTATTGAATAAATTAAATCTATTCACCATATAGGTACTTCATCCACAAAACACTTTCTGACATATTTTGCAATGTAAGTACAAGTCTGCAATTCAATTCTTTGATCACGCCGAGGTACAGTACCATGTAGCAGACAAGAGAATACCGCTTCAGGAAAGACTTTGACATAATCTGCACCTAAACGATCAGTCATATAATCAAGAAAAATTAACTTGAGTTTTGGTACATTTTCTCCTTCACGCATTAGAAGATTAATCCACTAGAAAGATGAGATATATTTAGAGAATTTCTACAAGGACATAATATTTAAACGAATTAACTGTTCATACATCCATCGAAGTATCAGCATAGATTTTAGATTTGAAGAAACTTGGTCTCATAAGGAATTCAACCATTCCTTCAACAGCTTGCCAATAAACTTCACTCTTCTTGCTCTCAAAAGTGGTTTTCCAGCTACATTCGAGTAACGAGACTACAGTAGATTTATCTACCGTTTTATATTTTATGCTAATTAATTTACTTAAAATTCTCAGCACTTCAGGAATGACCTCTTTTCCGCCACGTTCGAAGATATATTCTACATGCTCCAGCCAATTGACTTTTACCCAGGACACCACTGGTACAGTATCAAGATACATATCAATCAATAGTGCAGTGACTTTATAACATTCCAAAGCAAGTCTACCTGTAGAGGTTGTTCCATGAGTCTTTAAAGCATAGATACTTCTGATACTATATGTTTTAAGTAAAGTTTCTATGTCTCTATACTGTACATTCTTTGTGCTGTAACAATACTGTAATATGTATAATGCGAATAATCTTTGAACAGGCTGGTACACTTCAGGACCATTAATTATTTCTATTGCGTCTTTTTCAAAATCTTCTATATGCCTATTAAAACCACAACTTGCCAGCTCATCTTTCGCTTTAAGAAATGTCTTCACTACCCGTATATAATTATTAACATCATCACAGGTGGATAATGTGAGAGTATTTCTAACGCTTTTCTGTATAAATCTCAAAATAACGTCAAGATATGGTGTGATCATTTTGCGAATTATTTGATCCTCTTCCAGTGTACACATATTCAATAATGAACTCATAAGATATATGATCCTCATTGTGGAATCAGCAAAAGCGTAAGGTCTATTATCAATACCAACTAGTGTATTGAATAATGTAGACAGTACTCGCCTTGCACAATTCTCACAGTGCTGGGTATTGCTGAATATTAAATCAGCATCATGCAAGAGCATAATCATTAATGTAAATGTCCTTATGTTGGAATTCTGTACAGAATTTTTTTTAAATATCTTCTCCATTTTCTCAAAGAATTCATTAATAGTTGATTCACGGGTAAACTCTTTTAGCCAATTTGTAATTAGAATCCAAGAAGGTGCTCCACGAGCCAGAGCCTCACCCTCTGGAAATGCTGCTAATGTATTGGCAATTAATTCCAAATCAAGAGATGCTTGTGTATTGTAGACAAGGGACATTAGAATCCGTAATTGCGAGGCAGCTCTTAGCGTTTGAGAATGCATATTCAAGCTCGTTTCCGCTAATTCTTTGACTGCTCTTAGTTGTTCAGCTTTCCATACATTATGTACAGGAGTATCACTGAGTACTGAGCTTAATGCATATGATACATGATATATGGCAATAGGTCCCCATGAAACTTTTGAAATGAGTACAATAAATCTATTTACCAGATTACACTCTGCCTCTTCTGCTCGAGTAAAAAGTGTGGATAATTGTTCGGATACTTCTGGTGGTCTATCTGGTTTCTGATATTCATAGAGGAAGGTGTTGTTAAGGACGTTCACTATCACCGCTAAGAAATTGTCATTGTACATATCCAGATCCATTTTGAATGCTTGCAGAAGAGCCCATTTTACAATGGCATTGTTTTCATGATGTAATGCCCTTTCCATGATACACTGCAGCCAGGGTGTATCAAAGCAATTTCCACATGACTTGTGATCTATATTTCCATCTATTAGACTGTTTATAAGAGGCAGTGCTGGTATTATCAAATGCTTTTGTTTTTCTTCAAGTGCTTCCATGAGTAGAAAGAAATTTTTTCTGATTATATCGATTGACACAAATGAAGAATTTTTGCGTACACAAAGAAAAGGCACAGAAAGCTTATCACAGAATTGTTTGGCATTTATTAGCTCCTTTTCATGAATTTCCAAAAAGTCCATGGCTCTCTTCATAAGGTATAAAGCTCGCTTGCGATTTTGCTCAATTGGAGACTTTAAACCACTTAAGATGAGTGTCCAAAATCTTGTATCAATATATTGATCAATATGCTCTTGTGTAGCATCTTCTGGATTTAAAGGAAAAAATATATCAGCTAGGATACAGAAAGTTGTAAGTGAACTATTCAGATCATATTGATCATTTAATATGAACTTCCAAAGTATAGACGTTATAATACCAGAAGAACAAGTATTAATAATTTTTGGTAAAAGCATCAATAGTGATCCCCATTCTGTGTCTTGCTTAAATTGGAGCCATAACCTTATAGCATCTGCAAAAAATGAGTCCCGATCTTCTAATTCTTTCATTAGAGAATCATTGAGATCCATTAGAATAATTTGCAAATATTGAGTGTCTGCAAAATATCCTAATACATTCAGGCACATTGTTCTTGCATCTGGACTCTTCTTCATATATATATCAATATGTTTGTGAAAATACTCAAAATGTGCATTAAACTTTTCTATCGAACAGTGCAAAAGTGTCTGCAATATCATGATGTCTAACATCATCTCCAACTCTTCTTTACTCCATGACTTTTCTGGGATGAGAAAAATATTTTCAATGTCTGGAATATCAAGTTCTTGTAGTATATAATATTCATTGCTACTACAAGATGGACCATATGTAAGCTGATACTCATAGCATAGTAATGAGCGAAAGGTTTCAAGCTTTCCAATAGACCACTCTTCCTGGGCAAATTCCTCATTATATTTCTTTATCAAATGATATATCATTGGAAGAGGGTTCACTCGAGCAGTTTCATCGAGTATTTGTAATATTGATATGTCCGTGTGTATGCTCTTGTATCGTATATCCAAGTCCATTTTCTTATGCTTGGTCTGCTTTAACATAACTATGTAAAACAGTTAATAACTTTCAACAGCAGTATTAAACTTTTATCCAAAAATGAATTTGAATTCTGTAATCAAAACAAAGATACCTAGTCTTAATTACCAATAACATTATAGTAGAAATTAATATTTTTCGATATTGAACAATAATCTATAATACTGAACATCAATACTTAAGTACTAGTTTCAAACAGTATCAAGGATACTTATTTAAATTATAAAACAAAGAACGATATTTCGACGTCCATTATACACATATTACAGGTATTTGCACGTGGGTGAACGATGGAGAAATTTTTCTATTAAAATTTTGTTATGAACATATATACTCCTGTTACGAAACTTCCAAATACCGCATAAATTTATCATAACTAAAGAATTCCATATATTATACCAGATCTGTTTGCCAGACCGCCGGCGAATTCTAACTGCGTTAATCTCAGCGCTCTTGCTCTTGTGTCCAGTGCAGTCCAGTGTCCGATGCCAACTGGATGTCAACAGGTTTCAAGAGAGATGGTGATTGACAATAACCGCGAATGAACTTCAATCTTCGAAAAAACACGTGGAGACACGCAAAGCTAGATTTCAAATTATTATCGAACTTTCAACTATGGCGATGAGCAAATTTGAATACGTGAAACAGTTTGAACGAGATGATTCTTGTTTACCTAATTGTTGGATCGTGGTTAGGATTGACGGGCGAAGTTTTTCCAAATTTTCTGCTGCTCATCAATTTATTAAACCTAACGATGCTGCAGCTTTAGAGCTAATGAATCGTGCAGCTATCACCGTCATGGAAGACTTCAGGGAAATTGTTCTGGCATTTGGTCAGAGTGATGAATATTCATTTGTATTCAGGAAAGATACACAGCTGTTTAAGCGTAGAGGTATGCCAATGGATATTTCAGTTCACTGAAATATAAAATTTCTATTATAGAACAAAGATTATATTTAGACAATAATTTATTTATTGTTAATATTATTTTTTTCTTGCAGCTTCCAAGTTGATGTCTAACGTGAATTCCTTGTTTACTTCATCCTATGTATTTCATTGGCCTCGTATCATGGGGAATAAAGAACTCCGCTATCCACCCTCGTTTGATGCTCGTGTTGTTCTTTATCCAACTGATAAAAACCTAAGAGATTATTTATCCTGGAGGCAAGCTGATGTCCATGTTAATAATCTATATAATACTTGTTTCTGGAACCTTGTTTTAAAGAGACAAATGACATCTGCGCAGGTATTTATTTTTTTGTAATGAGGTATTACAAAGCAGTCAACACCATTTTTTCTTTATAGGCAGGTGAGAAATTAAAGGGAACACTATCATCACACAAAAATGAATTGCTGTTCCAAGAGTTTGGAATAAATTACAATGATGAACCAGCATCTTTTCGAAAAGGTACTACCCTCATTCGAAAATTAGCGCCTGATGGGAATGGTAAACTGAAACCTATAGTTGTATCTCTGGTAGATGACATCATTGGTGATCGTTTTTGGAAAGAAAATCATGAAGTGATAGGACTAAAAAGTTTGGCGACTTATCAGCGTTTAACTGCGACGAATAACTCTACTTCAAATACAGTGCCTACCCCTATACACTATATAAATAATATATCACCTTCCTCTAAAGGTAATCAGTTAAATTCCATAAGAGACGATTCACATACAGAAGGAAATCGTGTATTAAATAGAGAAATAATGCAGTGCAATCCAACTAATAGTGAACAACTACATAACAAATAAGTAGTTTTTTCCTATAATATAAATAATATCGTATTCCTGGATATGCTATACCAGTTTCACACCATATTAGGAACAATCAGTGAATGATAATGGAGTACTGTGAAAATATTCCATTAAAAGCAGTTTGTTAAAGAATATGTATGTGCATCTTGACACGTGACTGTAATATATAAGATAGTTTTATATGTAAGTATATAAAACAACATAATTATTTTCATATTAAGAAAATGTCATTGAGTATTGAGCATTTCCATATCTATGGTCTATTAAATCACTATAGTACTTGTTATAAGTGGAATGCGTTTTAACTTTATTAGTTTATACAGTTTGCAGTTATTAAATTAACAATTACACCAAGGGATAATACAATGCAAGACAGTGCTTGACACCGAAGAATATAATAAAATACACTATATACATAGAAGTTTTTCTGTAACGATTTGAAAGTAATTCATGACCGATGAAACTAGTTAAATGGTACGGTTAACTATGACCATTGCGATTTACATTTACAAAGTAATGTAAAAGCTTCGCATAATCTGTTTTAATGACGTAAAATTCATCTGGCAGTTGTGGTCCATTTCTCATGTGCTGTGGCTGTAATTTGACTCTAACGTTTCGGTGTTGCGAATAAAACATTGCGATCGTTCTGATCGAATAATTACGACTGATAAAGGAAATCTAACAATACGAATTAGAACCGAACTTCATTCGTTTGTGCTCGCACGGGGATAGATACAATGGCGATGAAATTGACTGACATGTCTAATTAGAAGATGGGTATATAATTATCAATCTTAGCTCGGTGTTTTTGAGCAACGCATTCAGATATCCATACGATATTACGACATTCTTGTTCTTTCAGCTTCAAATAGCTGTAGAACACGCCGAAATGAAATTGTTGTAAGAATGCTTGTACGTTCAAGCGTACCTCGTACTCGAAAAACTTATCTTCCAGGGTTTTATCACCAGGATTGTTTCCAGCACCTTCGAATAGGGCACTATATTCCTGCAATAGAATGTTTACATAACTTGAAATTGCCTTTACTTATTAAATGTCTGCTCAATTATGTTGGCTATAATACGTACAGCATAATATTCAGCAACAGCTTTAACTTGTTCATAATCATCAGCACGTGCTAATGCAGCTAATCCATCAGGATTCAAACGACCACAGCGAGGATACAATTTGGCACGATCATCCTTACCCAATTCCGTTCCAAAGGAATTGATCGTGATGATGATTGCACGCCTATCTGCCTCAAACTATATGATAGTAAAATATGTTTTACGTAATTATTGTTTTAAAAAGATTTTCAATAGATATGTTATTAAAGTAATCTTACAGCAAGAATTTCACACATGGTATCAGCAGTAGTACCGCCGATGTCCTTGCAGAATTTATAGAAAGCTTCCAAGTATGCCTTGTACAGAGTGTTTCTAATGATCTCGATGTTCATTTCATCCAAATCTTGTTCGGAGATGCAATCGACGAAGAACGGAGCTACAATAAGCGTTAAAAATTATCATGTCAGAATAAATAATATATAAGTTTTTATTATGTTAAACGAATTGTCTGAAGTACCTAGAGGTGTATCAACCAATACAGCATTGTACAGCTCAGCAGGAGTAGCAGCAACATGAATAGCCTCCATTTGTTCAAAACTACCAAGTGGATGACACTTAGGTATCAGCTCAGAAATTGGTCTTTGATGTAAAGTACCAGTAATCAGAAGTATGATATTGTCAATCATATAACTGTAAGTGATGAAGTCCAAGAATTGGGACAAAGGCTCGACAGAGTGATTGCGCATATGTTGGAATTCAATAACGAGCTTTTCTCTCAGTTTATCATCAATGACACTGACTGATAGAGGAGATGGCTCATTTGCTAGAAAGCTGCCATAATCACTTCCAGCCAAATGTAGCTTTAAATCTATAAAGGAATTCATTTATCTTTCACAATATAAAGCTAGACTTTAAAGAAAGTAATTATATATTAATTGCAAACTATTTAATTACTCCATATTTGCCTTACACAATTTGAACAATTTATAGTAAATTGGGGAACAGTTCTATGATAATTTATTAACAAATAAAGCATATATGAGCTTTTCTGTTATGAATATATAGAAATTTTTAGATAATATATAAAAAATGCCATTATTTATAGCGAATAAGGTAACAAAGTGGATCTTAATTTACCTTCAAGGGTCTCACATTGGACCAAATTAAGATAGTCACTTTGCTGTAGAATTCCGCACTTGAATCCACGGCAAAGACCTTCCAGGTATCCTCCGTCAATGTTAAATAGGCAGCCCTTCATTCTTATGCCTCAATATTTCACTTCTCTTACTTGGTATAGATACACGGAGGACCTACCCGTCAAAGATGAAACTCGGACTCGCCCAGTTTGCTCTAAGTCGATCATATGACCGATTACTATGAAGTCACTCACTAATAAGAAAGCAAATATCGTTTCAACAACCTATCGAGATTTGGTATCGACTATTGCATTGTATAGAGAATTTTAAAAATGAAATGTCAAAAATTCAATATCAATTGAGGTAATTTGTTAATAGTACAGCATTTTTAAAGCATTGCTTATACTTTATATTCCTTTGATCGTAATTTCTTTACAGTCCCGATAGATATTTAGGTCATAGATTATATGATTCATTTCATACCGACGTAAATGTAGTCCCACTGAGGCAACTTCACGTTCCTCTCAAAGATTCACTGTCTTTATTTAATGGTGAATCATGGAGTAGGATGAAATGAATTTTCACCATTTGCGGTACCGCGGATGATACCACTTGAGCGCAGCCTTCAGACTTCATGATTGTGACGACGACGTATTATGAAGATCCAAAAACTTTTTATACACATTTGAGAATATTATTCATATAGCTTGTTTCTGTGCTACAGTTCAAAGATTTGCATTTTGTTCAAAAATGTTTGGCAAGAAGAAAGAAGTAAAACGGCGACCAAGACCAGCAGGAAGTCTGGCGCAGGTAACAAAATGTTATAATTTGTAACCCTCTTATCTGTCGTTCATTACGCGTATAATAATGACAACTTTCATTTCCATAAGTATGGGTTATTTGAAATTCCTGATAATATTGATGACATCGCTGCAATCAGCACTGATGATGGACATGATCATGATTTGGAGGCGGAACTTGCTGCTTTGACATCTAATAACGACTCCGAACGTCCTCGACGTCGTAAAGGTACTTGCATATTTGTTTGCTAGATATTTTAACTTTCTATTGAAGAGCTGAGGCCTCATAAAAAATATTTCCAGCACCAAAGCCTATTCCAAATGAAAACCTTGATGCTATGGTTGCTGAAAGCATGAAGGACATCGATCTTGATGCAGAATTGTCTGGTGACGATGATGATGATCCTGATTTATTGGTACCTTAAACAGTTCATAAACTTTACTATTTTTTTTTGAACTTTTGTATTATTAGGAAAATGTTGTTATATGTGTCATAGAATGAGCTTAAGGAGATAACAGGAGATGAATCTGTTTCTCCAGAGCCTTCAGAGGAGGAGCAATCACACATGGAAGAAAAGAATGACAGTGATACTACAGAGTTGATAACATTATTACAAGAAAGACTAGCTATGTATAAAACTGCAGAAAAAAAAGCTAAGAATGAAAATGAAGCAGGACGAGCTCGTCGTTTTGCTCGAGGTGTTAAAACATTGGAAGGAATGTTAGCTGATACACATTCTGGGAAAGTTGTGAATAAGGCTGATATGCCACCAGTACTTCCACCTTCAGCTGTAGAATCATCTGACAATGGTCCTACAGGTATCGTATAAGTAAAAAATTGTTTTGATTTATGTATTTACTTTAAACATCTGTATTCTTAGAAAATAAAACCGATGAACTAACAACACCTGCCGAGTCTATTGTGCCAGAAGAAACTCCTGTACCAGAAGCTCCACAAGCTGTAACCGTGGACCCAAAAAAACTAGAATTATTGAAAAAACGACAGCAAGAATATAAAACAGCTGCTGTTGCCTGGAAGAAATCTGGCAATGTTCAAGAAGCTCTTCAACATGTAAAATTAGCTAAACAGTTTGATATAGTGATTGCAAGTCTAATAGCTGGTGAAGATATAGATTTATCTGACATGCCACCATCACCCAATCTACCTTCAACAGGAACAATAGCAGCAAGTCCTCCAGTGACAGAAAAAGAGGAAAGTGAAGCACAAAAAGGTGCACAAACAGAAGTGTCGGGTCAGTCCTTAAAAACTTTCTATTATCTAATTGTTACAAAAGATATATTATCGTGGAGATTATGAAAATTTTAATATAAAAATAACTATTCCTAGAACCAGTTCAGCACCAGGCAAAGGAAACTACCGATATTGGCACTGCTTTAAAAGAAAGATTGGAAGTATATCGTCGTACAAAAACCACTGCCGAAGAAGAAGGAAATTCCTCAAAAGCACGAAGATACGGTCGTATTTGTAAACAATTTGAGGATGCACTGAAGTTACATTCTCGTGGAAAACCCATTCCTATTGATGAGCTACCTACGCCGCCGGGTTTTCCGCCATTATCGATGGGACCACCAGCATCTCCAGCTAAGCCAGATATTCCACCACCACAACCTGAACCAAAATCACAGTCGGAATTAGTACCAGAGTCAACCCCATCTGGGGAAGAATCGGACAAAAAGTCACCAGACAAGAAAGCTCCTCCTGTACCTCCAAGGTCCAAATTAGGTATTTATTAACGCTGCTGGAAATTCTTAGCGCTTCCATACACCATATAGCAACATTAATTGTTTCTTTTTCCAGCAGTGAATAAACAAAAACGAGTGACATCGCGCGCCGATAAACAAATGATGCAGTTACAACAGAGGCAGCACGAACTCAAGCAAGCTGCATTGGCTGCAAAGAATGACGGTGATCTAGATTTGGCAAAAGATTACTTAAGGCAGGCCAAGGGATTGGATCCATTAATCGAAGCAAGCAAATCTGGTTTACCAGTTGATATGGATTCTGTTCCGTTATCGCCACTTGCAAAAATGCAATTACAAGTAAATGGAATAGACCCCAAAGAAGATGATTTCACTTTGATCTCTGCCGACAATTGCACTGAGGAAGCAGCTGGAACTGATCAACAAATTTATGATAATCTTGAAGCGCAGTTAATCAAACAAATCAAGGTAATTATCATAACACGTGCCCTCCATGTTGATTAAAAAAGTTTGATATACTTCAAAATTCTTCGCGCATGCTTAAATGTAAAACATATCTGTTATTTCACAGTGGTGCCTATCAACTAGAGATCATTCAAAGGCCTTAGGTGATGTAGCAGGTTATAATAGATGGGAGCGATTAGCTTTGGGATATACAAGAGATCTTGATATGTTAAGAGTTCGAAAACGGGACGCACTGCCACCACCACAGCATCATTATGAAATTAAGACCTATGCTATAGTTCAGTAAGTGAACACAATAAAGAGGCTGCCATACTTCTGTTACAATAATCTAATCAAAACTATTCACCAGGAGCTGCACGGATTTAGGTGACTCTGACCTTGAATTATCGATAATCCGTGGTGTGAATTACGTTCGTGAAGCAGACACATATGTAATGTTCGAGTTTCCGTATCCATCTGACAATCCACCGTCCGATAGAACTTCCACAGTAAGGGATACTAATAATCCTGAATATGAGGCTGTGTTTCCATTAAGCGGTGTAGTGGATCGTACTTCTAGACAATGTCAGCGTGCATTTAAAAGACATGCAGTGAAATGTCAAGTTTGGGCCAAAGGGTAAGTCTGCATTTTGGAATGAAAGCTATCAAGGCATTTTTAATTTTGGGATTCTCTTTTCATTTTAATCTTTTTTTTTTGAAACATTGATATTGCGCTTAAATTTTTGCCTCTCTAATTGAAACGAATATATTGACTTTACCGTTCTAATTTAATTCTTTTTAACTCATTTGTTTAATGATTGTATTCGAGACTAATGACACAACGGTAGAATCCTGTCGATTCCAGTTCCTCGGTAGATTTATATTAGTAAATAGATTAGGATGTTACTTGCAGATGCTCGATGAACCCCATCCTGTGTTGCACTCATCCAAGGTATGAAAACTTCATACTTGCAATCCTCATATATTGATTTATTCATTTTAATACTACACATTCTACACCAAAGGTACCATGCCTCGATAGGATCTTTGATTCTCGTTTTGTACTCATTTCATTGCATCATCGTTCACTTTTACATTTATTTTGCATATGTCGTTACTTCTTGTTTGCGATGAATATTTGAGGATACTGGAAAAGACTACATACGAATGACTGAATACATTTAATCGAATAATTGAAAAAGACTGTCAAATATTTAAGACATCGATCTACCAGTGATTTCGCAGATAATCTTACTCTAAGTTATATCTAAGTAACGCATAACAGACTATCATGGCTTATTTTTTTATATTTACATGCTAATCGCATATGCCTTTTATTAATCTTTAGACTTGGTAATCCGTACTACTTGGTATAATACAATGATGTAGCATCTGTTTATATTTGTGCAACTGTGTTACTCTTCAAAGATGCAACATAGGACAAATCTAATGAAAGTATCATACTGTGGCTTAGATAATAAATGCAAATAATTTCTTTATTAATTAAACTAAAGCATTTCTATACAATATGCAAATACTTTGGCGTTTGATAGTACATTCATTATGTTGCGTCTTGATATATTACTAGAAACACAAGTAACACTGATATATTTCTTGTTTTCTATTGTAGAGGATTTTTCAGAAGTGATAGTCTTCTTGGCACTGTGACTGTCAAGCTGCAGCCATTAGAAACACAGTGCATCTTGCATGATTCCTTTCCGGTAAATATGAATAATTCTCTGCCAAGTCGACTTTGATTAATTGAAATCATTGGATTTTATGTAATTAAATTTAATTGATGTTTTAAATTATTCCAACTAGTTGATGGAAGGAAGAAAAGCAGTAGGAGGTAAACTGGAAGTAAAGTTACGTGTGAGAAATCCTATTCTCACCAAACAAATTGAGCAAATCACTGATAAATGGTTAACAATTGATCATTGATCTTTCGTTGTCTCGTGAGAGATATTATTGATCTGTCAACGCTTAAAAATCAGCATTCGCACTACAGTGACTTTGAGCAATTAATCCAGCAAAACTAACATTGCGAAGAGGTTTGCAAAAATTACTATGCACACAAGAATATATATATATATATATAAATGTATATACCCAAGATATTTTAATGTATTGGTTTTAAGTATAGCTAACAAATATTTTTATTTTATCGCAGCTTTATAAATGATATAAATCTACCTAATAAATGGAATCACTCATTCGACTTGACTAGTTACGAATTTAATAATTTTAATCAGGCGTTAATCATGATTCTTTATCTGTTGAATCCTCATCTGCAAGTTTTTCTGTTAGGAATTTGCACTCTAATGTAAGTCAAGTGCGACAATAAATCCTCAATAGTGTGCTAAACTCTACACGTATTGCACAAACTCAACTGATTTTCCACGCACATTACGAGAAGCAAGTCACTGCTGTAGCTGAATCCACATTTCCCGAAGAACAATACATCAGGTGAATCCCACTAACAAACTATTGTCCGATAATCGTTCACCCCTACCTCTACCAGTTAACCCCCTAAGTCTTTGAAACCCATCCTCCATCATTCTGTACCAGTCCCTTTCAATTCCACTCCGCGAATTCAACCGACCAACCCTTAATAACCAACACATACATGATACGATCCAGCCACGTTCTATCCTGTAGAGAGACAAGTGAGCAAAAGGACAACCATTTTGAACCTGATTCCTACAGGACGGATCAACCCTCTTTACAAACCAGGGAACCAATCCAGTAATTCTATTCATACCCTTTTTTTCTTTCTTATCACATAAAAATATACCCTCTCTTTTTTAGTTCTCTCTATTCTCCATGGACGATCAGAGAATCAATGATCCTTTTTCGCGCACGAGTTCACAGGTCACCGTGTATGTATGTACACCACTTCGGCGTGGTACGGACTACTATAGTCCTACTGGGTAACCCCGCGGGGTCAAACACTCCGTCCAATGGGATAAATTTAGTGAAAAGTGTGAAGAAGCTCTCGCAATTGGAACTTGGTATACTTTTGACTTTTGTTTAACAAAGCCAGGATATATTGATTGGGTGGGGCTGGATGGGTTAGGTGGATCACGGCATTGGAAAACAACGGGATTTATTTGCCAATTAGACAATTAGGGCGATCGTGGCAGCATCCTGGATGAAGGAGCCAAAGGGGTTGGAGTACTGGTTTGTTGCGGGCCAACAAAATTCACCGCTGGAAGAACCATCCTCTGCATTACACGCTCCGGCGCAGAGTATTTGCCTGGTATACGGACGTAATGTTGACCTTTTACCCTGCACCAGCGAGCTGCTGGGATTCTGCGTGCAAATTAACGATGTTTGCACTTAACCCTTGCTCGCACTGGTTCCCTGCTCTCGTCCCTTTCTGGCACATCATCCAAATCACCCTTCCTTCTGTACAGTCAGTATCTCTAACCCTTGTGTAGTGTCTGCCCTGTAGATTTCATTCTCTACTACGTATAGCTTTTAAAATCGTTTCATTTACAGGATCCATGCATTATGCGAGGATAAGAAGAAACATTTACAGTAATATATAATCTTCATTTATTTATGAATTTTTCTATAGAATTATTTTGTAAAATTCTTGGCGTTTTTAGATAATGCAGTCTTATGTAATTTTTTTATTGGAGTTGATCGATAATGATTAATCAATTAATAAGTAGGGTCATGGTCATCATAGAATTACGGTCAGAATAACATTCGTTCATTTACGCGTTTACTAATTCGGTAGCGCGCATCCTTGCAGGGTCAGAGATTCATGATAGACTGCAACGAGCTAAACCATCTATTAAGATACTACTGTTATTATTCGCTACAAAGTGCAATATTGTCCCTCCATAGTTTAATGCAATGAAATAACGATAAGTCTTGATATTTCATAAAGCTGTTAGCACATTACGGTCGCAGTGGGTATTGCTTTGTGGCTAAGATAACCTCTCTCTTATACTCTAATCGGGCATGGTAACAGATTCGTTCAAAACAGACATCATTGTATTGTCGCTCTACTCCAGTTTTATAGTTTACACGTAATCAGTTAGTGTACATTGTAACTTTATGATTGATAAGTCAATTTTCTTAAGCAACTAATTATTTCACTCGGTATGATAATAAACTCGTTATATCATCTTACTACTGTCGATCTAAACGTAATATTACGTTCTGCTTACCAGATGAGTTTGAATAGTTAAATAAATGCAATCCCAAGCACAACATCATACCGGAATTAATATTTATCCATTATGAAGCATTATAAAAGTTAATAATAGTATCAGTCTACTGATCGATCAGCATCCTTATTCTACAAGTCGAGCATAAATATAATCAGACATCAGTCGCATCATCGGCAAGTATACGTCACGTTTAAGAATCCTAAAAAAGCTCTTAGGACTTTCCGTGCGCGAGCCACGTGCTTCGTGATTTTTCGAAATTGCTCGCGCCTCTTGATATGCTCCGATTACTGCTTATTCGGCATAAGGCCGGATGTGACGTCACCTGAAGTCGCGCGTGCAGATTGCAGATGCCAGATGCGACCCGACACCCGCGTCTTATATCCTCGCATTTACGTGTACTCGGTTCTCTCTATTCTGGTGTCGCTTCGTCTGTCTGACCATCTCTGGCATATCCGTAAACAACGTTTCGCATCGATATTCGAAATGAAAGAGCAAGAGGCGGGGGTAATGGCGGTGAGGTGGATAAGAAAAAACCTACCATAGCATCAAACGATAGTATAAGCCATAGCTAGTCTCATCGATCTTAAGAAACCTTTTATTCTCATTCTAGAATAGTCTCGGAGATATAAAACGCGGGAAAAATAAAAAAATTCAAAAAAAGGAACTGACCAACAGCACAGCTTCGCACATGTCAATATATCTTCTATTTGGATCAAGGCTTCCGAAGCTCGTGATGTCAGTGTTGCTGTCGTGAAAAAAAAAAAAAAGATATTTTTCAGATTCGTAATCTTTAATGAGTGAGACGAAGGTTCTCGGGTTGAAAAATATGAGTTTGATGCATAAACTAGGGTATATACAATTAGAATAGGCAATTGACAATGCTGTAATCCAACGTCTACCTTTCTGAATATGATAAACCATAACTCAGCTAATTAATGTGTCATGGATTAGTTTATTAATAATTCCCTACGAGGAATCTTATCGGATACCACGATAGTAAGCAGTTATATACAGTGGCAGAGCTAATGACTATCAGAATAGCACTACTGATAAAGTACACCCTAAGTATCGTTAGACGCCTTTTGATTAGTCTGGAGTTGTCTTGTACGGTATCAACATAAGTTACATTGGTTATGGAATTGCATTACTCGAAACTCTTATCTGTATATTATAGTGATTGTGCGAGTCTTCCATTAGGAATTAACTTCCACGGATAAGGGCAATGCGTACTTTAAGGGATGGCAGTTCGTCAAGACTTGGTTAATTTTGTATACGAGATCGCACGGAGGTCATTTGACATTATCGAACGATCAGGAGAGATCGGGTCAGCCACTTGTCCCGATTTTATCGGCGGCAAATCGTAAGAAAAAAGCATAAAAATGTCCTCGGGAAAGGGGAGGCCATTAAATCTAATAGCCGACTCGGGGAAGCGGCAATTCCTCTCGAAGAACTTAACCTCTCTACTCACCCACCCCTTACCTCCACAGTCTCTTCTACGCCTTACAGTAACCGTAACCACCCTTTG